TTGCCAAGAGTCTGCAAATCACCTGATTTCACTTCAGGAGCAGTTTCACTGCAGATGGAAGCAAATCCTTTTAATCTGAACATGAAGCACAGACGTAGACATGTTTTCAAACAGGCATCTCTGGTAGTGTGGTTCTGACAATTCAACGGTGCTGCTCAGCTCAAGTGTGGCAATCACTGCTTTCAGTGAACCCAGAGGCTCAACAGCGCACAGTAACATAAAGACACACAACAGCCCTGCAAAAAACAAAACACACTGAGGCGGCAAAGCACACACTGCTCACAGTGACACAGCTTTGGAAGCACCTTTTTAAAAATTTGGCCTGTCCTGTCTGCAGAAATCAGAATTATTGTCTGAAGAATAGTGCAGATATTGGTCCACATGATTGTCATTTATTCGATTATTACATTTTTTAATTTTAAGTTATTACAATCAGACCGGACAGGACGGGAGACGGGAGAGAGAAAGAAGAAGGAAATAGAAGTTGGCAAGAGAGTTAAGAGAAGGAGAGGGAGAGAAAAACAGAGGAGAAGAGGGATAAAGAGAGAAGACCCTGAAAATCTGCTTCAACACCTGCTTAAAAAAACAGCAAAAAGAAAACAAGACAGCAGGGAAACCACGGCAACAACCAACATAAGCACGAGTAACAGCAAATAATAAATATTGATGCCTCTTTCCTACAGGCTTGTTGGTGTGGTGGAGCCTCTACACGTGCATGAACACGTTCTACAGAGAACACTAACACTATGCTTCACCACTGCGCTGCTCTAAGAAACTATGGACCCTGCTCACTATCTGAGCCTCAACTAGGTAATACCGGTCCACTGGTCCACTGTGAGCGACCATCTTTGAACAGAGGCGGGGTTTACGACACCAACTCTCTGCCATCTATAATCCAGTTTTGAGATCCCTTCCCAGACGCCTTAACGCCCACTCACATCCTGGGCCATCTGACCTCAGGAATTTGCATGATAAGGTGGGGCCAGGTTTCACAATGAGCTCACCTGAAACCCTGGCTGATTGGGACCCACACCCAGTTTCACACCTTGGCTCAGGCGATTAGAGGATCATCAGGGGTCCTTTTGTCCCTCTGTGGGGGGGAAACTCCCACTAGGTTTATATCTGGGACTCTCCACCATTTGACCTTAGAACTGAAGAAGCTTCTCGGATGAGAGGTGAAACGTCTTCAAGCAACTTAAAGAAGTCCAGACGCTTTTCTTTGCAAGCTCCTTTGACTACGATGACCTGGATGACTGAGAACCTTCACAGACATAATACCGGTATAATGTTGGGCAACAATAAGAAAATAAAATATTGCAATAGAATATGGGTAAAACGCGCATGTGCAGTGCCTTTGCTTTCATACACACATGCCAAAAAAGCATGGCAGCGACGGATGAGAAGGGTGAAAGCGGATTGAGTGAAACGGATGAACCAGAACTGGTTTGTAAAAATGCTGAAACCTCAGTGATGCGGAACTGGTTTGGTGTTTGTCCGTCAGATACACGACAAAGCACATGTTTTTGTAGGACATGCAAGCGGCCGTCGTTATTGCCGTATTTGTCGGACTAAGATGCTCTTAAATCTGGGAGTAATCTGGGTCCTAAACTCCGTATACTTCAGGTCCCAAAGTCAAACAAACACTGCGGCATCACTGAGAGTTAAAAACTGTCTAAATTCTTTCATCTTTAATAAAATGATCAGCATTGCTGCTTTACCAGGTGTAACAATTCAGTTTAACTTCCAGGCATCCATGAAAACAGAATTTATGACATTTAACGGAGTTAGAAGTTAGAAGAGAGTTTAGTTTCCACCTAAGCATGACATAGCACGTTCTGGCTGAGAGATTTCTGAAACATTCAAACGTACAGCTCTGCTATCACTTCCAACATAAATGAGGACAGGAAACTAAACCAGTGACGTTTGTAGGGTTACTGAAGTTGGGCTAGCTGGTATATAATGATGTGCTACGTGCTAAGTAACTAAGTAACTAATTACTTTTGAAAAAGTAATCAGTTACTAATTACTGATTACTACCTGAAAAAAGTAATCCCGTTACTTCACTGATTACTTATTTTCAAAAGTAATTAATTACTTAGTTACTTAGTTACTTTTTAAAAACACGATTTACAACCTGAAGAGGTGATAAAGCGATAGATCTTTCAGCCCAATTCTACTTTTCTACATAATCCATCATACAAAATGTAATCAAATGGAAAAGTCTCTTTTTAAAACTTGTTTTATTAGTTTTAATCTTTTAACTTTAAGCATCAAGCAAAAATTTAATTATATGCAACATTCTCTGACTGGAAGAAATTAGTTTAACATTTAAACCTATTTTCTGCACATTCCAGCACATAAAATAAAATATTTTTTGTGTTTACACTCAGTCTTTCAAATAGATGCAAGTACAACACAGCAGAAAATAAATAAAGTCAAAGACTCAGCGGTCCTGTTGCTCTATTTTCACCTGTAAAGCAGGAGTGGTCAGGCGGAGGTTTACCCTGGTGCAGGTGTGCCGCAGCGGTCAGTGGAAGGATACGGCAGCTTCTCTGTGAGTTTCACATTCCAGCGGCAGCGTATTTGGTGCTTGCTCTGACATTTAGGGGTTTTTTGCTGTAAAAAGAAGTTTTCTTCCCACGCAGTGAGCTGCGGACGATAATGTTTTTGTCACTTTTTACGGAATCAAACTTAAAGTAAGGTCAGTACTTCCACGCTTTAAACGCTGCACGCTCACACTCTCTCCTGCACTCGTTATATTATCCATTGTTGATCTGCACACAGCTGTTACCACGAACGTTGCACTCGCTTACGTCACTGTCATGAGACACTCGCAAAAATATCACAGTTTTAGTAACGCAGTAACGCAGCGTGCTTACGGGAAAGTAACAGTAATCTAATTACCTTTTTTGTAATAGTAATCCCTTACTTTACTCGTTACTCGAAAAAAGTAATCGGATTACGCGTTACTGCCCATTTCTGCTAACTACACAGCTATGTTAGCATAACAAACACAGTGAAGCTGGAGGATGAACGCTAACTTTTTTCCACTGGATAAAAGTTTTTCTTGATTTGTTTGTTTTGCCTGTCCCGTTTGGCTCTTTTGCCATCAAAATTATTGTCTTAAGGCAAAGAAAGATGCCCAAAGGATTTACTTTACCAAATTGACCATCCCAGCCTTGCCGTAATGGTCCATTTGATTCACCTTTTATTGCTTATTTCATTTATTTTCACTTGCTAAATACGGGACAGACTTGACTGGGGAAAAGAAAGAGGGAAAGAAAAACGGGGAAGAGGAACGGTGATAAAGGGTGTAGTTTGTGTGTGTGAGCACCCGTGTGTACACCTGTGAGCATGGACGTGCTTGTTTTAAAAAGGTTCCTTCATGTAATGATCTGCTAGAGGGTGTGGGGGGGCCACAGCCCCGTCCTCCAGGGCGTGAAGCAGGTATGGAGGAGATCAAAACTCCAGACATCCAGAGGCCCCCAGAACACAAGAGACCAAGGAAGACCAACAGAGGGGCAGCTGCGCCACTGTCCCAGAAAGAGCTGAGGAGAGTCCCAGATGAGGGCTCACTCAGCAGCCGCGGAGCAGAAGCCAGGGGGGGTTGCAGTGACGCGCCCGTGAGCTCCGCCGGTAGCCAGCTGTGCCTGAGTGACCGAGCCCCAGGCCGAGAGGCCGAGGGCACCCCACCCCTGAAGGAGCCCGAGCGAGCCCCAGGCTCCAGGCCCCGATAAGCGGCCGCCAAGGAGTGAGCCGGTGTGTACCTGGGTGCCCATCCCCGGACACAAAGAACCACCAACGCACCGATGTCTGAGGGCGTCTGCCACTAGCAGGGGAAGTGGTGGTGGGGGGAGATAGGCCTCCAAACCTTGGAGGGCCTGAGATGTCCCCAGAGAGGTGAAGTCTGGTTTGCCTCTTACCTGTAATTATTTTTATTTAATTTAATAACTGTACAGTACTCTCTGTTTATAGTAACCATTGTCCTTAATGTAAATATGTAAGAAAAATTGTGTATGTTTCTGTTCCGTGTCCTGTGTCCTGTTTGTTTGTATATTTGTCTTTTTGGCTGCTGTTACAACCAAATTTCCCAGGGCAGCTGTGGCTACAACCGTAGCTGCCTCCACCAGTGTGTGAATGTGAGAGTGAATGAATAGTGGCATTGTAAAGCGCTTTGGGTGCCTTGAAAAGCGCTATATAAATCCACTCCATTATTATTGTTATTATTATTATTGACCAATCAGCTGAAAGGAAGAAAAATGGGGTCAAAATTCGTACTTGTAACTTGAAACTTGAGTGCAGAGTTTCACATGTATTGTTTGGCTAAGTCCACACACAAATCTTTTTTACACACACAAATCCTGATTTACAAGTACAAACTATTTATGACCACAATTTGAGCCTATAAACATGAGCAGAGACACAAACATGAGAGGGATTGTCAGTGTTAGTTCACTGACAGACTCACAAACTAATGTGCACACTTATGTCTGCACTTTGGTTTTGTTAAATACGAACACAATGACAGCAGAAGTGCTGCCACGTGTGGCCTCACATGAGATGACAGAGCCAGCAGTGGTTCACAGCTCGTTTGAGACCCCTGAGCTGGGGTGAGGGAGAGCAGACAGATGGCAGAGCTCCAGTGCTTTATTTGTACTGCCTCCTAGTGGACGACAAGAAGAACGACTGAACGAACAAATATAGAAAGGATTCATGGACATTATTGTAAAAAGTTGAACACTTAAAAGGAAATTCTGTTACTAAGACTTCATAAAAAATATTTATAATGATCGATTTTATATGTGGAGGACACAGACAGTCAGCGGTCCCTAACCCCCGGGCCACGGCCCGGTACCAAACGACTCACAGACCGGTACCGGGCCGTGAGAGTTGAGGCTAATAATTAACTCGGTTTCCCTGGGTCTTTGCCGTGTTGTAGTTGTGTGTCTTATTTTGAAAGAAAGGTTTACACGTTACCATAGCGACCAGAGCGCATTATGGAGGATGTTACTCTCAGTCTTGACTGGCTAATAAAGTTACACCATTACACAGTTAATTCGCGTTTATTGTTATATTTACAAAATACCACCGTTTTTGTCGTATCATGTTATTTTGTTGCATTTATCCGCCACACCGTGAAAATACTGTCTGACGTTAAACCGGCCAGTGGAGCAGCGAAGGTTGGGGACCGCTGCTCTACAGCCGTAATCAATCCCGGCCCTTTCAGTTGTAATGAGGCTTGCTGTTTACGCTTCAGTGCCAGGCAGTCAGCAACAAGGTGATCCTTTAATAACAGTATTCACCATCATGTGGACGTGAGGGGGTCTCACGACCAGACTCAAGCCTCGCACGGCGCAACTCGACATTAACGTCACCTTGTGTTCATTTACGAACATTATTCATCTCTCGGGTAAGGATGCTTAAAATCCTCCAATAGCATTAGCTCACGAGGTGACTCATAATCATCATTAACTGTCTAATTAGTGGCCTGAGCTGTAAAGCAGGGCTGGGAGAGCTGCGTTCACATGTTGGCGCCATACTCTGCGCCCTTCTCTAAACAAACGCTTCTTATAGCAAAGACACTGTCCTTCATTTCAGCTAAACTTCCACTCGAAGACGTTCAAACGATGCCTGGAGCGCAAAAGACCGCAGTACTGCCAGGTGGGCGTGTCTCAGTAGCTATGCCATGAAAACTACACAGAAAAGCCGCACGTGAAGTCAACGCGAAGCATGCGCATGCGCCACGGCCAAAGGCGCTGAACGTTCGAACCGACGTCACGTCAGGTCCCCTGATGGTCAAAAGTACACAACTATCCAGATCTAGTGTGAGGACGGAGAGTGAAAGATTGGAAAAAGTGATCATTTGTGCAAAGCTGTCGCCAAAACGTGAATTCACGGACGAGATTGTGGAAACATGAACGTGGTAGGGCTCTGAAAAATTGATCAGACCACCTCTCATCAATATTTTAGACATTTTGAAAATGCAATAATTGCAATGATTATATGTGAGAAGCTTAGTGGTACTGGTGGACTAACTGTTACAGAAGCATCCAAAATGAGCACCAATACTGTTTGTGCAGCTGTGACAAAAACCTTACATTGGCTGCTGGTCTAATTCTTGTTATTTTGGATGTGTAACGCCTGCTCCCTGACATCTGTCTGTTCTTTCTAGATCCCATTAGATGAACGTGCTGAACCGAGGTGCAGTCATCTCAGCGTGCCTCTGTTTAGATTTGGAGACATTGAACGATGCCTCAGAAACTATTTAGACGATTTATCGCTCAGGTAAGTCACAAGCTCAAAGTCAGCGAGACAGTTACCAGCATACACAGACATATTCACTGGTTACAGGTTTGTTTCGCTCAACCGTTCTCAATGTTTTTCTTTCAGACAGTGGACGGCATTAGCCACCGATGACGTCTCCTCGGATGTCGTCGATCTGCTGAGCGAGATGTGCCGAGCACTCATAGGGCACATTAGCACCGTAGTGTATAAAGTCATACGCCGACAGGTTTCATGCTGCCCACATCGCCATGATCGTGGAGACAAAGAAAGCTCCGCTGACCGGTAAATCTAAAGCTTGCTTTATTAAACAGTTTCATTCAGTCTTTCTTCTTCTTAGACGTTTTACATGAGATGGTTCATCGGGTAATCCTGGTGACAGAGGGGTTTTTCAGAGGACACAGCATTGCTTCGTTTACATCACGTGTGAAGTCGTCCATGTGGTTTCTTTTAATGACGCCTGTAGATTTGGACAAAGCAGTGATAGTGTGGGAAGATGACTACGTTTCTCTTCTCTCCCTTTTCAGGATGAAGGTTGAACCTCTGCTTGATGGGTGCAGTGACTGCAGGGTGACAGAGGATGATATTCAGGCCAGCCTCAGAAACATCTTTCATTACTGCTTCGGTTGGGTCTTGGGTTTTGGGCAACGGCGGTCTTGTGACTCAGACAAACTACTGACTTTATTTTCAGTGTCGATTGCAAAGAACGTAAACTCAGCCCTGAGTCGTATCACAGGGTCCACGTCCTTGCAGTCAGATAGATCCACATCCCCAACAAACTTTGTTGGGATGGTTCACAGTGTAGCGAACATTTTAAAGGACTTTACAAAGACCTTAGCTCCCCCTTTTGTAGATGGTGAGAGTCACAGCTACAGCATTGTTGACTCGCCAAACTCTGAGGAAGATGACGACTTTAAACCAGAGTCTGCAGAGACTTTTAAAAGCACACAGACTCCAGCTTGTGTAGGTGAGGGAGATGTGGGTAGCGAGGGCAACAGTGATGCATTTCAAATCACTGATGTCCAAAATCTTGACCGTGAGAGTTCAGAGAGTGAAGAAAAATGTAGCGACGCCCCGCAGTGCTCGTCTGGGGCGCTTCCTGCGCCCGCAGAGACCGATACCTTTCTCATATTGTGTCTTGCAAATTTAGTCGCTCACGTTTCTGAGAAAACACAAACAACTGCTGTAAAGCTGAATTTTCAGCAGATAGTGACTGATATAAGAGAGAAGATTGGGGGAGACTTGACTCCTCTAAAAACTGTAAAAAACTTGTACATCATAATGTACAAAGACCTGTGTCGCATATTTGGATCCAAATACGTGCTTCAGTTTGTGATGGAAAAGGGTGACGCGACTTTTGTAGCAGCCGTTGTGGAGCTATTAAAAGCAGAGCTAAAAGCATCGAGCGGCTCCGGTCACGCGCTGAGACGTTTAGAAAGTAACAAAAGCGTTCTCGCTTCTTTTTGTAGATCTTTGAGGAGGCTGTTCAGAAACAGAGTGACAGAGTGATTATCTTCATAATTACTCACAGAATTTGCTTCTTAATTTGGAAATAAAATGAGCAGAAAATGAAACAAATGTGTTTGTCAGATCATTTAATTGTTAAATGTGTATAATGGTTTGTAGTCTCATCAGTCACAATGTAGAGACAATCGCACAAACTCGATTTAGTCAGAGCACTTTGAGTTGGTTTTGTCATTGTAGGTTAAATGTAGATATTTATTCTAGATATTGGGCACAAAGGCGTCCTCAGCTCTGTAACAGAGAGGTGTTGGCTCAGTGTGAAGATGTCCTGATGACATCAGTACTTTTGATTCTAGCCTGACTGATCAAGTTCCAGTTAAAGGGTTTTGACTGTCTTGAGAGACGGCACATTGTAGACAGAGACATATTCCTAACTGTAAAACTCAAGAAACAGTCTGAGGCTACGTTCACTCTGCAGGTCTTGATGCTCAATTCTGATCTTTTGATCAAACGCGCTCTAGTGTGAACGCTCAGAGCGGCCGCGTGCACAAAAGAAGACGTCACACACGACGCTCTGTTTAGACCCAGAGCAACAGGATGTGTGACTGATGGCCTTAATGTAAAGACTTCAGACTTCACGTTTCCCAGTTTTGCTTTAAGTTATAAAGTTTTGTTATTTACATTTGTCCTAATAATGATCCTTACTGCTGTTTCAGAGGAGCGCTGCTTCTAGCTGCAGATTTCTGTCAGAATCTGCAGATTATACAGTACAAAGAAAATGTTCACGTTTCTCCAACGCTGTCTTCCCAGCAGTTTCCCTGGATAGAAGCGTTCACCGTGTCGGGCGCTGATAGTCGGCGTCTGTCTTGTGTCGGTGACGTAAAAGACGGATTTAATGCGACGTGACCGTCAAACAGCAGTCGCTTTCTAAAACATCAGATATGTATCGGATTCAGCACCACATACCAAAGTGACCCAGATCGGATTTGAAGATATCGGATTTGTGCCGTTCACACCGTCACACCATGATTGGATAGATGGTCGCAGAGGGTCAGAGAAGTCGGATTTGATGCGCTTTCCCCTGCAGTTTGAACGCAGCCTAATTTGTGATCATCTATCGCCCACCTGGGCCTTACACAAAGCTTCTGTCTCTCAGACTTTTTATCTGATCGAGTGCTCAGCTCAGATAAAATCATTACTGTGGCTGATTTTAACATTGAAGATTGTTATCATCTTCAATGCCCTGTACCAACATAGAGCAGCTACCTGAACACTACGAGGTCGATTATCTTGTTAATAATTTTGCCTCCTCACTACGTATGACTGTAGCTCCTGTGAAAACTAAGGCCTCAGATCAGAAGTAGGGCTGCTCGATTATGGCAAAAATGATAATCACGATTATTTTCACTGAAATTGAGATCACGATTATTTGACGATATTTATTTAACCCTTTAAGACCTACTATAGAACCAAGTCCACCAGAGCTTATATTATTTTTTTTACATGCTGTAGTGCCATTTGTGGGAGCATTTCAAGTTGCTATACATCAATACAACTGTTATAGCCCATATTTTAATAATATGTATGCATTAAGTCCATAGTAATTACATTAATTGCAAAAAAGTGCAATAAACTACAAAAAAAATTGAAAATCGCTTTTGTTTTGTTTACATATATTTCTACTTGGAGAAATTTAAGAGGTTTATCCCTCAAAACTTTAAATACAATAAAGTTGCAAAAAATAGTTTCCCACCACAGGAAATTTATTTTGAGTGTCTTCATAGTTTTATTTTGGAGATACAGCAATTTTTATATACTGCAGGAAAAACAAAAAATAATCCTATGATGCAAATTTGCAAAGAAAACAGCAGGTGCATCATTTCACTGTGGGAAGTGTTACGAACAGCTGATAGGAACGGCAAAGCGTGTTTCTGGAATATTATGTTTTTGTTCCTGCAAGCGCTTTTTATGCAATTTTTGCAAAGCTTTATGTGGAAGGAAACCGTGACCGAGGACAAGCTGATGGCATCAGATGTAAGTACAACTCCTCCGGTTTCATATGCAAAACAAATTATTGCGCTAGCTTACACGGTTCAGGTTCTACAGGGATTTAAAAATAGTTACACAACACGGAGCGTGCTGCTCTGACCGGCTTTAAAGGGTTAACAATGACTTTAAAAAATAATATAAAATAGTGTGCAACACCACTGAAGTTTTTTTTTTTTAACTCTTTTCAACCAACAGCAGTCACTCTCCTCTCCAAATAACTTCTGCTTAGCTTTCCGAGCTTCCCTCGGGTCCTCTTAATCAGCGGTCTCCAACCTTTTTTGCGCCACGGACGGTTTATGCCCGACAATATTTTCACGGACCGGCCTTTAAGGTGTCGCGGATAAATGAGGGAGGGGCTAATAATCGGCTCAGTCATTTTTAATGATCGTTGAAAGCCCAGATCGTAATCGTGATTAAAATTCGATTAATTGAGCAGCCCTAATCAGAAGTATTTAACTCCGTGGTATAATTCTCAAACTCAAGCTACTTTCAGCACCATCGATGTTCATTTAGACTCTTTTTCTCCAGTTGATCTTTCTGAGTTAACTTCAATAATTACTTCCTCCAAACCATCAACGTGTCTTTCAGACCCCATTCCTACAAAACTGCTCAAAGAAGTCCTGCCATTAATTAATGCTTCAGTCTCTAATAATCAGCTATGTACCACAGGCCTTCAAGCTGAAGCGTATCCCAGCTGTCATTGGGCAAGAGGTGGGGTACACTCTGGACAGGTCACCAGTCTGATGCCAGGCTACCACACAGGCAAACAACACCCATATTCACACCAATGGGCAATTTACAATGACCAATTAACTTAACCCCATTAACTGCATGTTTTTGGACTGTGGGAGGAAGCTGGAGTACCTGGAAAAAACCCACTCAAACACTGGGAGAACATGCAAACTCAGAAAAGCTCCGGCCAGATTGTGCAGTCAAATTTAGCTACCGGGGACCCAGCAGTCTTCGATTCACTCTGAGAGCAGCGTGCAGATGATTTGGAGAACTTGAGGAAACGAAAGGATTCAAATGATCACCTCTTGCATTTCCAGACCCATTTATCAGTTTTCAGTGATGATGCTGACAGAGTAACCAGACTCAAAGTCGGAATGATTTCCTTCACTAACTAAAGAGCAACTTTCCTTTTCCAACAGCTGTAAATCAAGTAAAGCTGATGTGTACAATCACAGAGGGAAACATACCACAGAACAGCAAATGTTTAAGACATTTATTATCATACTGTCAGGGTTCATAGAAATCAACTTAAAACACTTGATCTGAAGGAGCGATTATTTACCATTCTTGATGTTTGAACTAATGCAGAGTTGAATTCGACTTCTAATATTTTCAACTTTGCTTTTACAACATGTACGATTTAACCATCGCTGGCATTACCAGTACGTTGTGCCTGTGAAGACAAGGAACCACAGCAGGATACAGTTCTCCACACACTAGACATCAGAAAGGGCCACAACATGTTTATGGACAACAACAAAAACCCTAAATATCTTCAGTTACCCAGACGAGCTTGTGTGCATGTCTTTAAAATAATTTCCAACAATATTTTTGACATTTGCAAAACAGTGAGAGCTAGTGTTAGTGCAGTTAATAAGAAGAAATGTATCAGTGACGCTAATTTAGGAATCTCAAGTCTGGAATCGCTCCCCTGCACCAACCCAGTCCTCGTCCCCTAAATCACCTCTTACAGTTTTAAAGGAACACAAAGGCTTGCTTACTTCAGATAACTACAATTCCCACATCGACAAGCCCTTTGTAGACGTGCTGCACTGTTCTTGGTGCAGGGATGAGCCTTTTCTTACTCTTCTTTTGATTCCAAGCAGGTGGGAGGGGACTGAAACGATTACATTGGCTGCTTGACATCGGCTCATTTGGACGCCTGCCAGATGATGACGGCGAGTATGACGAGCACGATGACGCAGCCCATAACCAGGATGCAGATCTTCTTCCGGGACTTTTGCTGCGATAAAGACGGGACAGCAGGGTTATGGTGAGGGTCTGCGCTGAATGACGCCACAGAGTGGTGACCGACACACCCACCTGATAGTAAGCAGCTCTCTGCAGCTGCTCTGTTCCTCGTTCTACGTGAACTTCAGCATTCTCCACGTTGGCCTCGATGCTATCTGCAGGGAGACAAAAACAAAAATACACCACGGTCAGCTGGGAGCTGCCCTGGACATGTGCTGCCTGCAAAGACACGATTTTTAGTTTGGTTAACTGGTTTCTTCAAACTGGGAAGGGAAACAAAAATCTAACATTGAGATTTGAGCTCAGGTGGATCCTGCTTCTGCTGATTTGACTCGAGTCCACTGGTGGTTGACTCGGTTGGTTGGACATGACTTGGAGTGTCATGTCTACTGTGTGTCTACTGTCCTATTGCTGACAGCGCACGTCAGAGCGCAGACCAAGCCAAAACGCCCGGGGAAGGTCTGCAGACCTCAGGTTTCTATGGAGGCGCAGATCTGGGGAAGGGTCCCAGTGAGGTGCTTCAACATAGTCCTGAACAGAGGCCGTGGACACCTGTGTGCACGCTACTTTGGGTTTTTGTTTGTAATGCAAGTGGAACATTTTCAAGTGGAATTTACTTTATGGGTTATTGTGTGTAAAGATGTGAGGTGGAAACTGATGTTGGAATGAGGCTGTGACACCATGTGCTGTGAATGTTTTGTGTATGTTGGTCAGAGAGGACGGAGCTGCAGGCTGAGCATTCTGGGCGGAGCTGAAAAGGGAGCGAGTGTCGGTTTTTAAGGAGGACAGATTATTGATATAGCAACTAATTAATGGTCACTTCACAGTGATGGGAACGACAACGTTCCTGTTACTACTTACCAATCATCTCTCCCTGGTCATGAATCATCACAGCCAGGTCCTTGAAGATCTGGTTTACATCCATGATATCAGACTGTAAAGACACAGAGATTAGCTGAGCGCTGACGGCAGCGTGCTGGA